AAACAGGGGCACCGTATCCTGAAACGACATGCATTGAGGAGCTGATGACCTTCAAGGAAAACCCATCCAACTGTGACCAGAATACAGTAATTATAGAAGAGGTAAAGGTACAATAATAGTAATCAAATCATTATTCAAAATAATTGCAAAAATGAGATAAGCCGAAACTCTATAAAGGGAACATAATATATCATTACTATAGATTAACCCTGCGATCTCAACATCAATGACATCCAATTGACATCAAATATGTCATCAGAACGTATCCCATCCATTAAGCTGCTGGAGTTACAGTCAACAGTGAACTCTAAGGAAAATCTGAATCCAGTAAACTTACAAGGAATGGAGCTCAGTGACCGGCAACACATGTCTTACATGCTGTAACAACTTAACAGAGATAGTGATAGTGAAATGGGCAATTCAGTGAAAGTGAAAAGCATTAGTTTAGGCACTCTTTTATTGTATTTTGCTAATTGTTGTGTTTTTTTATAAAAAATAAGATTATTAATATGTTGCAGTGGCGAAATAATCAGAATTTGCATGTGCAATCCCCTGATAATTTCGCTCTTCAGGAGGGAGGAGTTATATAACCCCGTGTGTCACCACCATAATTATATTTTATATAAACAAAACCATTGCAACATAGTAGTACAAAGATCCTTTATATTTCAATAGCCGAAATGCTGTTACATGATTAACGATCCACTCTTACATGATTTACGAACCACTCTTAGTTCTTACTAAGTAACGTTTCCTTGTAGAGCGTGAGAACAATGTGTCAGCACAACGGTCACGTAGGCCTGTAAGAATAGGATATAAATATAATAGAACGCTTGTAATATACAGTATTAATCGGACCTCAAATCGGACCGGTTGTATTCATTTTAACTTTAAGTTTTTAAAAACCCTTTTTTCGCGGACCCACTACTTGACTACATTCACTCTGAGTTAAACATTGTGTAAAACAAGCCTATTAGCAATCCGGCTAATGCCTTTTCTTTTCATGGATGCCGGTCGACCTACTTTTTTTGAGTACATTCCCGTTTCATCTCTGAGTGCAACAAGTGAATGAGTGAGTGTTTAGTCGTCGCAAACAGGGCCAAAGATTATTTGAAGTATCTTCAGATCGATAAGGAGAACAAGCTCGTCCTTGTTGCTAGGGTCCAGGGTTTAGAACCGAGAAACCCCGATCAGCCAGCAGATCAAGCGACGCAAGTGGAATTCGATTGACCATAGGAGTGTATGGCCGAAGGGATCCCAATCATATTAGCAGGCGTTTGAATGGAACCCGTAACGAAAGCGAAAGCGTGGCTGTCCCAGGCAAACCTGTATAGTTGCAGATGAGACAAAGGGAGCTGGAAAGACTTGGAGCGAGGTGAAATACGAGGCTCAAGATCGAACGCGATGGAGACTCACTGTAGACGCCCTCTGCCCCATCTAGGGGTTATAGGACATTAGGTCAAAGTCAAGGTTTTAGAACCAGAAGTGAACACGGAGTTCGGCTCCTTTAACGACATTTTAAAACTGGGCCATTGTTTTACAGATGTTAAAGGAGACAGTATCAGCGGGCGTGGAGAGCAACGACAGACGCGTGGTCCAGCAGCTAGTGGAGTGTGGGGCCATACAAGTGTGTGTGGTGGCCGCGGAACTGGCGTTCGCATTCGCTGCCCACGCGCACACTGTTATTGTGGCTGATACGCATGTTGTATCTAATATATAAAATTGTCGTGTAACAATGTTCGTTCCCATACTCCGAAACGGCTCGACCGATTCTTATGAAATTTTTTATGCATATTATAAATACATTATGCAAAAATTATAACTTTTGCGGACAATACCTTTATAGTTTTAATAGATGAAATCAATGTTTAAAGAACTTTATTTCTCATTACAAAAATTATTTTTATTTACATGAGAAATTTAATATTATATACGAACGAGATACACGTCGCCATCAGCTAGCCCAATTTTAGTCTAATGGGCTCATTCTGATGTGTATCTTTAATGCCCTTTTGAACTGATTAATCACGCTAATGTTACGAACCTTAGACGGCAACTAATTAAACAATTGCACACCCTTATACCTAATAGACCTCTTTAAATAATTTGTGCGCGGCTTTGGCAAGATAAGCAAACTCGCTCGACGAGTATTGCGTGTAGTGGTGTATTTGATTTTATTAAATGATAAGTTACTATGTAGAGAGTTATTTAAATTTTTTTTAATAAGGATACAGATGCTATAAACATATATGTAGTTGTTTAATGGTCATAATTTTGCTTTCTTGGTAGATTTTATTAGTAGGTGTTAAAATTTTTTATCTAAATAGTGCTTTTATTTATTTATTTTGTAGTGTTTGTACCTTAGAAATTTTGTTTTTGCATGCTGTACCCCATATTTCAATTAGGTATATGAAATGTAGCTTGACTAAACAATTATAAATCAAATGACGTACAGATTGCGGAATGCATTTTGATATTGACCAAAATCTGCCTATGAGTAATTTTAGTTTGGTAATTCTGTGTGATATATGAAAGTTCCAGAGATAAATTCAAGGAAATAATTGTACTTACCTTTCCCTCGCAATATATTTATGAAAAAATTATGTATTTATACAAAAATAGTGATAAGTTTACTATAATTGTACGAGCCAAGGCTGTACATTTTACTCGTTCAGGCTTCCTTAGTTTTATAAACTTACTTATTCCCTATGTAAGTACGTGCCAGGGATCGTACATTCCAATCATTCACAAGCGTGATGTTTTTATGTAAGTACGTGCCAGGGCTCGTACATTCCAATCATCCACGAGCGTGATGTTTTTATTATGTAAGTACGTGCCCTGGCTGTACGGTTTGGTCACTTATAAGCATGACGATTTCCTAAATCGTTGAAGTTTCACCCCGGGAGCATAGCCAGACGTAGGCACTCTCTCTGCTTGTTAGATTGCACTTATTATATAGCAATTAACATAATAGTTATTATTTCGCTCATATTCTATTGTATAACGCGAGTGATAAATATAGAGTAAATTCAAATTATTCTATTATTTCGAACCCCTGATGATCCAGGAACCGTACATTTTGGTCCTTCGAGCTATCCGGGAATAGCGGGTCTTTCGCGTACAGTTGATCGCGTTCGCGTTTTTCTCCGTCATCCTGAAGATCCGCGCCGTGGAAAAACATCCCACTGCTGGTTTGTTGGGTCGTCAAGCAAGTAAGAAAATATCATCCGCATCAATAGAAAAGAGGAGAGCAAGGAGAAGGAGGATCCATAGCGGTCAAATAGGGAGGCAGGCGACAGGAAGTCCACTCCCAGCATTCTCAAGGACCCATAGAATCATCAAGAATACCGCACTGAATCTTCTGACTTCCTATTTACACGGAAGAACTCAGAAGGTTGAAGTGAATGGTAAGAGGTCCTCTGGGTCGGCAGTAGATATGGGGGTACCACAGGGCTCAATTCTTGGCCCTTTCCTCTTTCTTGTTTATATAAATGATCTACCTTTCATGGTAGAGAGAAAACATCAGATAGTTTTGTTTGCTGATGACACGTCCTTGATTTTTAAAATCAAACGACAAATAACAAATTTTGACGATGTGAACAATGCTCTGTCTTCGATTGTCCATTGGTTTAGTATGAATAACCTTCTACTTAATGCAAAAAGACAAAATGCATTAAATTTTGTGCAAAAAATGCAAGGGTTATGGATACTAGACCAATTATAAACGGTGAGGAATTGAATCTGGATGATACAACTGTATTTCTCGGAATCACCATGGATTCAAAACTTCAGTGGTCCCCTCATATTAACGGATTGGCGAAGAGACTTAGTTCTGCAGCCTACGCGGTTAAAAAATTCGCTCACTAACTGATGTCGATACAGCTAGACTTGTTTATTTTAGTTACTTTCATAGCTTAATGACTTATGGCTTATTATTATGGGGTCATGCTGCTGATATCGAAACTATTTTCATCCTGCAGAAGAGGGCTATTCGTGCAATCTATAATTTAAAATGTAGGGAATCTCTTAGAGATAAATTCAAGGAAATTAATATACTTACCTTTCCCTCGCAATATATTTATGAAAATATTATGTATGTATACAAAAATAGTGATAAGTTTACTAGAATAGAACATACGCACAATGTTAATACACGGAACAAACGCAGGCTGCAATTTCCCCGTACTAGACTATCTAAAGTTAGTAATTCTTTTTTTGGGGAAAGGGATACTCTTCTTTAATAAAATCCCAGAGGCTCTTTTATCACTGCCTTTCAATAAATTTAAGAAATGTATTAAAGAAAAGCTGTGTAAAAAGGCTTACTATAAAGTCAACGATTATCTAGTTGATAAAAGGGCCTGGGACTAGTGCTAGACAGGCTACTTCTAATCAATTTGCGATATTTGTTTTAAATAAGTGTTGTTTGATGATTTGCTGTTTTAAAAGAGTACCGAGAGTTTTTTACGCCGGCTTTTTCTCTCGGCCTACACCCTCTGTCTTCTTTGCCGATGAGTAGGGATGCCTTCAAATTTAATGACGTGGAATAAGTGATACATGTATCTTATGTTCCATAATAAACATATTTTATTTTATTTTTTATTTCATAGCGGTCAGATAGGGAGGCAAGCGACAGTGAGTCCGCTCCCAATATTTTCAAGAACCCATAGCGGTCAGATAGGGAGAAAAGCGACAGTGAGTCCGCTCCCAATATTTTCAAGAACCCATAGCGGTCAGATAGGGAGAAAAGCGACAGTGAGTCCGCTCCCAACATTTTCAAGAACCCATAGCGGTCAAATAGGGAGGCAAGCGACAGTGAGTTCGCTCCCAATATTTTCAAGGACCCATAGCGGTCAAAAAATATATCAGCGTCCTTCCAACCTAGAAGAAGGCAAAGGACGTTTTTTCAGCATAATAACTAGGTAATCCCTTTCGAAAAAGGGCAAGTTATACAGCACTTTTACACACCATTGTTAATTGGGGCTTTATATTAATAAATCATTATGAATAAGTTATACCAAGAACAACTTACAGTATGGGGGGATATTCAAAAATTAATTAATAACTACAATAAGGACGGAGCAGATAGAAAAAGAAAGCCCGACTATTTTGAGAGTCGGCTGTTTCGTTTGGAAGATTTGTGGGAAAAATTTCAATCCAACCATGACCGCATGTTAATAGAGCTTAGCCCAGAGCATAAATACTTTCAGGAAATGGAGTTTGAAAGAACAGAGGAAAAGTACCGTTCAATAAAAGAAAAATTGAGTCAGGCCTACAAAGACATAATAATCGAAACACCAAAGGCAAGTACTAGTGCGAGCGAGTCTGAGGAACAAGAGCGGCTGGAAGACAAGAATCGGCTCAGTCACCACAAGGGTTTAATATCAATGCTATAAAAAACAAGGGGTATTCGCAAAAGACTACGGAACTGCTCAGCATGCAGGAGGTATTATTCAGGACCTCCGAACACCATTCTATTAAATTTAATATAGAGTCCACCAATGACAAGTGGGAACTCATGGAAATATGGGAGGGGTGTAAAGTCGCGTTGGGAGGGGATTTATAAACGTCACCTAGAGATAGACATCGAACTCGCGGGAACTTTCCCGGAATATCAAAAAAAATATTTCGAACAGGCAGAAGAATTTATGCGCCAAAGGAAGGAGATGAATCTCAAATTGCGCTCTATCACCCCGAATGAGAAATTAACCCCACGTATAGAAATACCTATATTTAACGGAAGTTTCGAAAAATGGGTATCATTCCGGGACTTATTCGAACAAAGTATTCACAAAAATTCAAGCCTATCCAACGCAGAAAAAATGCAATATTTAAAATCAAGGTTAAGAGAGGAACCCGAGAGGCTCATACATCAATTACAAATTAGCAACGAAAATTATGACGCATGCTGGAGAATTATTACGAACAGATACGACAACAAAAAACATATTTTAACTTCGTATCTAAATAGTTTTATGCAGCTTCCAAGGATTGAAAAGGACAATCTGGGGCAAATTAAAAAACTTCACGATGTCACCTTGGAATGCTTGAATGGGCTCAAAATTTTAGGGATTCACATAGAGCATTGGGACACCATTATAATTCATATTCTGTCGCAAAAACTAGACTATGACACCTATCAAGCATATTATATTTCATCACTAGAGCATCCCAAAGAGTTACCGGTGCTTAAAGATTTAATGGATTTCCTGGAAAAAACATTTACTGCTTTGGAAACAACAAGTAATCAACCTCAGCAGAGTCTTGTTACAAAACGTCAACCTCGGCCTTATTATAAGCCGTTCAACAATAAATTCGTGTCATCGCAAGTGAGCAATCGAGGCCAAGACAGTATCGATAGAAACACGTGCTGTAAAATATGCAAATCACCTAATCATGTCACGTTTAATTGTAAATTCTTTATAGGCATGAATTATAAAGAAAGGCTTGATACAGTTTTAGGACTGCAGATATGTATTAATTGTTTCTGTAACCACGATGTCAAGGATTGTGCTTCAACAAGCAGATGCAGAGTTTGCTATCAGAAGCATAATACAAAGTTACATAATGCATTAAATAATTCGAACTCGCCTAATCGCCCATCTACAAGCAAATTTCACTATAAAAATTATCCAAGGGAGCAGTCGAAAAGGATATACACGACCTCTAAGGATTTTTCAGAAGTCCTCTTAGCAACAGCAAAAATTAAAGTTTTAGGGGTTAATGGAAAAACCTACCTCATGCGCGCACTTATTGACCAGGGGTCTCAAATATCAATCATTAGCGAAAAGGCAGCATAGCTGTTGAAACTAAAGAGGGAAGGCTGTTATGGTGTTATCTCAGGAGTGGGGGAAAACACACAAAGGATCAAGGGTCAGGTTACATTGACCTGTTCTTCTATTCACACCAACTATACACTAAAATCAAAAGTTTTTATTATGTATAATCTAGTGCATAAATTACCAAACAACTCCTTTAATATGCCGTCATGGCCATATATAAAAAATATCGGTAAAGATGTGAGAGAGAAGACCCTAAATTTGGGGTGCGGGGGAGGGGAGGGGTGGGAGGGGGGTAGTAATCACCCCCCACAAATTTTGGGCTTAGGAAACCAAAAAAAAATTTTTTTTTTTTTTTTTTTACCTGGGGAAACCCACTTACGGGCCCCCACGCCTGGGCAAGTGTGTGAATGGCGCGGGGAGTGTGGGGGTCAAGGTCGTAAAATGCGATGACCCCATACCCACTAAAACCACCAGGGCCCAATCCATAGTGCATGTAGAGCCGGGTCGTGGTAGAAGCCAGTAGGCTTCTATCCACTTCAGCAGCTCTTCAGCAGCAGTAAATGAAAAAAGAAATTAACATATGTAAGCAAAATAAGCAGTATAGCATAATAAGCAATATAGCAAAATAAGAGTATAGTAAAGTATTATTTTAATTTATAAATATATTTAATTGCTATAAGTAGCTCCTCAAAGGGATCTTTTTTATATTTCTTATTGTTTCGCCGCCATAGGTATTCGTATAAATGATCAGTGAAATTTTCTGTACTATAAAAATTATAATTATCTTTTTTAAAAAATCTCTTAACTGCTCTCCATTGAGACTCAATTCTTTGAGTATGTGTTCCATCTTCAGCCACAAAGGGGTTGTCTGGATTCGAGTGGTTGACCTTCTTATGAAGGTATCCATGCTCAGACAAGCAATCGTATGCTCGCCAGAAGTCAGTGTGGATGGTCGTGCCAACTTCGACGTGTTTCTGTATTAGAGGAACTAATACTTCCGCTGAGCGAATATTATCTGAGCACACTTCCAATCTCAGATCTTCAGAATTGTCTTCAATCATACCGAGGACCCAATGGCCCTCAATATGTCGTCCTAGAACAATTAAAGAATTAAAATAACACTCTAGGGGTAAAACAGACTTGTAACACAATCAATGTTGTCATTGATGCGGACCTAACATAACCAAAATCTAGTTTACATGTAGATAAATAATAATGTAACAGTTAACATGTAGTAAATATAATTTATTGAGCTATAAAAGACTTACCTCGGTTGTATTTTCGTTTCCCAAATTTTGATTCGTCTATCTGCACAATCTTCCCTGGGCCACCAATTTTTCCTTTAAATTGATTCTTGTCCATTTGATAAATAACTATGGTTTCTCTACAATAATTAAACCAATCATTAATAGTGCCTCGACTTAAGCATTGTTGTCTATCTTCTTTATATGGATCTTCATTAATAGTTGTATAATAACTCCAATTTTGTGAATATGCATATAGTAAATAGAAGACATGTACTAAGTCTAATTTAATGTTTTCGAAAAATGTTCCTTTATTTCTAGATACTCTTGATTTTGATTTGCAATTTCCTTTTGTACAAGACCATGTGCCAAATGTTTTATTCGTCGATTTAATTATTTTCATGGGTACACGATGTCTTCCACATTGCTTTTGAGAATGCACTAATCCATGTTCTTCAGCGAATGCCATACACTGCTCATTATTGCCTAAAGTTTTATTTAGTTTAGTTAAATTCCACATTTTGAGAACTTCATCTTTAAAAAGATGACGATCCTCCAAGGGCCCATCATCCTCAAAAGCCGGTCTACCAAGCGTTGTGCTTGTAGACGGTTCAGATTCAGTACCAAATCTGAAAAAGATTGCAAGAAATCAGTGTCTAGTATGTATGTAAAGCTAAGTTTTAAAAAAATAATAATATAATAACGAACATTCACGTAAAAAGTAACGGCTTTTTAACGGATATTTCGCACATTATCACTGTTCACACAGGTTATTTTAAAAAAATATTAATATACTAACCTAAGATGATGGTCGTCCTCAAAAGCAGGTCTACCAAGCGTTGTGCTTGTAGACGGTTCAGGTTCAGGTTCAGTACCACACCCATGTCCACTATTTTGAGACGCCATTACACGAAATCTGAAAATGATCGCAAGAAATCAGTGTCTAGTATGTATATAAAGCCAAGTTTTAAAAAAATGCTAATAAAATAACGCACATTCAAGCAAAAATAAAAAAATCTAAAAAGTAACGGCTTTTAACTGATATTTTGCACTTGAATACTGTGAACACACACTGTTCTGGCAAAATCCAAATTCGAAATGGTCGATTGCGTTTATACTTTAAACAATGAATAGTAGAGAATAGAGATGTGAAAAATAATCTATTCTGTGAAAGTGAAAAAATCGATTATTTTAGTATTCGATTTTGAATCCGATTTTGTTTTCGATTTCGAGTTTCAGTTGAACAGTTATTTAAAAACAATATTAATATACGGTTAGTATATTAATATTTATATAACCTAACCTATCTAAATAATATTTGTTTATGTGGACAGCTCCGATCTAAATAGTAATTGTTTATTCAAGCCTCGGCTTCTCGGCGTCCTGGTCGCCTTCGGCGACCAAATATTCATATACTAACTCTAACCTAACCAATCTAAATAATATTTGTTTTTGTGGACAGCTCCGATCTAAATAGTAATTGTTTATTCAAGCCTCGGCTTCTCGGCGTCCTGGTCGCCTTCGGCGACCAAATATTCATATACTAACTCTAACCTAACCAATCTAAATAATATTTGTTTTTGTGGACAGCTCCGATCTAAATAGTAATTGTTTATTCAAGCCTCGGCTTCTCGGCGTCCTGGTCGCCTTCGGCGACCAAATATTCATATACTAACTCTAACCTAACCAATCTAAATAATATTTGTTTTTGTGGACAGCTCCGGCGCTACGGGAAATGCAGCCCCTCCACCCTTGCGTACCAAAGCACAGGCATTTTATTCAAGCCTCCGCAACCTCGGCTTTTTGGTCGCCTCTGGCGACCAGCCTCAGCCGCTACAGCTTTCATAATGCCTGTGCTTTGTTACAGCGGGTGGGGGCTGCTCTTCCTCCGCGCCTCCGATTATTTATATACACTCTAGGGGTAAGACAGACAAGACCACGTGGATAGTGGGGTGCTCTGATTCGGTTTTGGGTACTATTTGAATAATTTAATAATTTTCGGAACCAGTTATTTAAAAACAATATTAATATACGGTTAGTATATTAATATTTATATAACCTAACCTATCTAAATAATATTTGTTTATGTGGACAGCTCCGATCTAAATAGTAATTGTTTATTCAAGCCTCGGCTTCTCGGCGTCCTGGTCGCCTTCGGCGACCAAATATTCATATACTAACTCTAACCTAACCAATCTAAATAATATTTGTTTTTGTGGACAGCTCCGATCTAAATAGTAATTGTTTATTCAAGCCTCGGCTTCTCGGCGTCCTGGTCGCCTTCGGCGACCAAATATTCATATACTAACTCTAACCTAACCAATCTAAATAATATTTGTTTTTGTGGACAGCTCCGATCTAAATAGTAATTGTTTATTCAAGCCTCGGCTTCTCGGCGTCCTGGTCGCCTTCGGCGACCAAATATTCATATACTAACTCTAACCTAACCAATCTAAATAATATTTGTTTTTGTGGACAGCTCCGGCGCTACGGGAAATGCAGCCCCTCCACCCTTGCGTACCAAAGCACAGGCATTTTATTCAAGCCTCCGCAACCTCGGCTTTTTGGTCGCCTCTGGCGACCAGCCTCAGCCGCTACAGCTTTCATAATGCCTGTGCTTTGTTACAGCGGGTGGGGGCTGCTCTTCCTCCGCGCCTCCGATTATTTATATACACTCTAGGGGTAAGGCAGACAAGACCACGTGGATAGTGGGGTGCTCTGATTCGGTTTTGGGTACTATTTGAATAATTTAATAATTTTCGGAACCATACATTAATTAAAACATGAAGTTAATGTAATGTATGTACATTTGACAAGTAATGCTTAAATTAGGTTCAACTATAAAATTAACAAATGAGAAAATAATCGATTCGATTAGGTTCAACTTTAAAAATAACAAATGAGAAAATAATCGATCCAATTAATTTACCGAAAATGTCACATCACTTATAACCAATAGAAAACGACAATGACACATCACTTATAACCAATAGAAATCGAGAAAGTCACATCTCTTATAACCAATAGAAAAGTAGTTAGATAATGGCGGATTGTTTATAATTTCAATACAATTGACAAAAGTTAAAAACATTTTTTTTAAATACTTTGACGCTTATCCTAAAGCTAAAATCACTTGGAGGTGTTCCAATCAAGGGTCCCCGAGACTCCTGCATAATCAGTATCATCAAATTCCAACGCATGGATATCAACCCCAACCCAAAATATCGAGTTGGCAGATCCCGAATTTAATAAAAGCAGCCAAATAGATATATTATTTGGGGCCGATGTCTACTCTGAAATTATTATGAGTGGAATATTAAGAGGTGAAAATCCCTCACAACCTATAGCGCAACAGACACGATTGGGATGGATCTTATGTGGGAAACTAAAGTCATATCAATGCAACGTCATACTAAATAGCACTGAAGACTTACAGAGATTTTGGGAAATAGAAGACATTGAAGAGTCTCCATCAGTAGTGTCCTCGGAAGACCAATATTGTCTTGAGTTGTATAAAAACACAACACTGCGCCAAGCAAATGGAAGGTACAAGGTACGACTTCCATTAAAAGATAACTTTGAACAAAGTTTAGGTCTGTCAAAACCAACGGCTGTAGCACAATTTCATAGCCTGGAACGGAAGTTAGCGAAGCAACCCAAAACCGCGAGGCAATATACAGACTTTATAAATAAGTATAAAGACTTAAGGCACATGTCTCTTGTCGAAAAAAAGGGCTCGGAAATTGGGTATTATTTACCCCATCATTGTGTAACCCGGGAACACTCGGAAACCACAAAACTACGTGTTGTGTTCAACGGGTCAGCAAAGACATCAACGGGAATTAGTTTAAACGATGTAATGTATACAGGCCCCAACCTACAACAAGACTTGCAATCCCTTATATTAAAATGGAGAAGTTTTCGATATGTATACACCGCAGATGTGGAGAAAATGTTCAGAAATATTGACATCTTTGAGTGTGATCAGAAAATGCAAAAAATTATTTGGCGGGACACACAAACTCAACCGTTACAGGAATACGAACTGACAACTGTAACGTATGGCACAAAGGCGGCGCCCTTTTTAGCCATGATGACGCTAAAACAACTAGCTATGGATGAGAGACGTCGGTTTCCACGGGCAGCGGAAATTACAGAACAAGCATTCTATACAGATGACTTAATTTATGGGGCTCATTCTATAGAAGAAGGATGCAGCATGGTAACAGAGTTACAGGATTTGTTGCAGGCAGGGGGCTTTATGTTAAGAAAATGGGCTTCCAACGATCCAAGAATATTGAAAAGGCTTTCGGAAAAAATTAACAGGGATCAGAATCAACAAATATTTACGTTTAAGGGGATCTTATTTCAAAAACATTAGGGGTATACTGGAACCCGAAGGAAGACTGCTTTATGTTTCAATCATCATTTGATTTCTCGAATAAAACAACCAAAAGAGCGCTGTTGTCAGATATATCGAAGCTATTTGACCCACTAGGTTGGTTAGCACCTGCAATCACGGCCATGAAAATAATTTTTCAAGAAGTGTGGAAGCAAAACATTAAGTGGGATGATCAAATCCCTACTTCTATTGTGAAAAAATGGAAGTAATTTAAAGAAGAATTAGAACTAAGTATTTCTAAAATAAGAATCCCTAGATGGTTACAAACTAGTCCGGACAGCACAATAGAGCTACATGGATTTTGTGATGCATCAAACAAAGCATATGCCGCAGTTGTTTACTGTCGAATAAACAACAAGGTCTCATTGGTGGCAGCCAAAACAAAATTGGTACCCATCAAAGGGAAAATCTCAATCCCGAGAGGTGAATTATGTGGAGCAGTTTTATTAACAAAGTTACTTATTAAAGTAAAAACATGCTTTGGGAATAATAACATTAAGTGTTATGGTTGGACGGACTCTATGGTAACATTGGGGTGGATACAGGGACAACCTGAGAAATGGAAGCCGTTTGTAAGCAACAGAGTTAAGCAAATTTGTCAAGACATGCCGTCAAATACATGGCGCTATGTTAAATCAGAGGAAAACCCTGCAGATTGCGCCAGTCGGGGTGTTTCCGTTAAACAACTGGAAAGGCACTCTCTATGGTGGAGTGGTCCATCATGGCTGCCTTTATATAAGAATAACGAAGAAACTCCGTTATATTTTACGAAGGAAGAAGAGAAAAAGCAATATTTAGTTAATTTCGTACAAGGTATGGATAGCACAGTAAAAGGAATCATACAAAATTGCAGTAGTTTCTCACGTGCAATCAGAATAGTTGCCTGGATATTACGGCTGTTACCAAAAAATAAGGGAAGAAGGCAACGGCATCTTACATTAGCTGAAATCAAAGAAGCAAAATGGAAGATAATTCGTCACGTACAAGAAGACGAATTCTCCTATGAAATTGAGAACTTGAGGAGAAAGGAGAACATTAATAAAAGCAAACTGATTACATTGAATCCATATCTTGGAGAGGATGGCCTTCTTCGTGTGGGGGGAAGGTTAAGGAATGCCTTTATTAGTAAAGACGTGCAACATCCAATCATAATTTCGCATACTGGTAGGCTGACTGACTTAATAATAGACCAAGCACATAAGCTTACTTTTCATGGCGGCCCTCGCCTAACATTATCACTTATCAGACAGAAGTACTGGATTGTAGGCGGTAATAGAGCAGTGAAGAGGCGATTGAGGTTATGTGTAACATGTGTTAAAAATAACCCTCGAATGCAATATCAATTAATGGGCGACTTGCCCGAACCTCGGTGTAATCCGACACGACCGTTTAAGCATACGGGAGTTGATTTTACGGGATTTATCCTAATAAAGAGTATCAAAGGACGAGGTATCAAGTGCACAAAGGGTTACATAGCCGTATTCATATGCATGGCTACAAAGGCGGTGCATTTAGAAGTAGTATCTGACTTAACTACTTCGGCTTTTCTAGCAGCATTAAAAAGAATGGCGGCCCGAAGAGGGGCTCCGGAACATATTTATAGTGATAATGGCACAAATTTTATTGGTGCAAATCGTATACTTGACGCCGAGTATAACGAGTTAAAACAAGCATTCACAAGTGAACAATTCGCCACCACAATTACGGACATGGAAATAAACTGGCATTTCAATGCACCTGCATGGCCTTCTGCTGGCGGATTATGGGAAGCAGCTGTAAAAAGTTTAAAGGCTCATACAAAGAAAGTAATCGGAGATCAAAAATTCACGTATGAAGAGCTCGCAACACTCTTATCGCAGTTAGAAGCCTGTCTAAATACTAGGCCTTTATGTCCTATTTCAGAAGATCCAGAGGACATAAACTTTCTAACACCCGCTCATTTCTTAACTGGTGGGCCGACACTTTCATTGTTGCCCACCGAGAATGACTTACGAACAAGATGGTATTTAGTGGAGAAAACTTTCCAAGATATATGGAAGAGGTGGCAGTCGGAATACTTGCCCACCTTGACATCCCGTAGCAAATGGCAAAAACCACGAGAAAACTTAAAATTACAAGATTTGGTTGCCATTCACGACGCTAATTTACCTCCCGGAAAGTGGGCTATGGGCAGAGTTGTAGAGTTACATCCGGGCACTGACAATATCGTAAGAGTAGTCTCGCTAAAGACAAAGAACGGAATAATCAAACGTCCTATTGTCAAATTAAGTCCCTTACCAGTGCAGGACAATAGTAAAACAGCAGCCGAAAATAAGGAGCCACACATAACAAAACCACGGCCCGTAATACGAAAGGGTCTTGGTAACGTCTTAATGATAATGCTTTCATTCATATATTTCATAACATACGTATCAGCCACGCAACCGATAAATTATAATATAAGTACATTCAACAATAATAAGGGGTTATACTTAGACAAAATAAGCAATATGCAATTAATTCAAGAAAAATGGAAAATCGTTGTTTACTATGACATGAACCCCTATTGGGAAGGAGAAAAGGCATTTGAACAATATTTTAAAACTTTACAAGGCATGTGTTCTGTCCTCAATGACAAAACACATTGCGAAATTACTATGAACCAATTACGTCACGGCTTCGAGGAACTCAAATACTACGATCAGGTGATGCTTACACAGCACCCGGGCACGCGCTCGAAGCGGCGTCGGCGCGGCCTTATCAACGGTGTCGGTTACGCAGCACACGCTCTATTCGGAGTATTAGATGAGTCATTCGCTGAGCAATATCAAAGGGATATCACTTTAGTTAAAGAAAATGAGCAGCATTTGGCAAACCTGTGGAAAAATCAGACGTCTGTTCTGGATGCGGAATACAATCTCATGAAGCGGTCAGAGGAAGAAAATTATAATTTACGAAAATTAATAAATCGACACGCAAACGAAGTGAAGAAGGCTATTAGTACTCAAGTTACTGAAATCAATAGTCTAGAGCGTATTACTCAGTTTACACTTGACAGCATCTCAGCAACAAACGTACTTGCTAATTTGAAAAATATGCAGGAATATCTGATTGACACCATCACAGATATTTACCATGGTCGATTTAATTTCCACCTTATTACTTCGGAACAATTGCGCAAGGAATTAAATATAATATCTAATCATATTTCAACAGACCTCTCTTTGCCCATCTCTAATGGTCAAACACAATTTGGAAATATATATAAATTCCTAAGGGTTAAAGCAAGGATGCTTCAGGAGCAGTTAATATTGGAAATCTCGGTTCCACTTGTCAGCCGAGATGATTTTGAAATATATAAGGTGATTTCTGTTCCTTATAAGAGTGACACACTGACGATGGTCAAAATTGTCCCTATTTCAGATCTCGTCGCAATAAACAAAGAAAAAAATTCATATATACAAATATCAGAAAATCAATTACTATCAAGTTGTGATTATTATTCCGATATTTATTATTGTAACTTACCTAAGCTTTTTTATCATATGAAGGCAGAAGATAGCTTATGTAAGACAGGAATAAAAAACCAATGTCAATTTGAGAAAATGCCATGCGATAACGAATGGATTGACCTGAATAGAAAGAATACATATTTGTACTTTTGTTGTGACCGGTGTCCGTTACATATTATGTGTGGCGATCAAATTTCTGCAGAGCAATTAAATACGACTGGCCTAATAAGCATAGGTCATGGTTGCATGTTACGAAACAAAATAGGTGTCATTTATGCTCATAATGATTATCAGAATGAGCTCAAAACTGGACCAATGGTATATTCGCCGTATATGGATTCAATCAATAATATGATAAATGTGTCTTTATCGTCGGATGTTATTGGAATTTCAAGAAATAACTACACCATTAGTAGCCTTGAGAAAATAGGCGCGGATCTGGAACATATGCGGAAGGAAGCTCCCATAATTAGCAGTGTGACATTCCACGACGTACATCAGTATATTGCCTTATACTCCATTTTGGGCATTTTCGTCGTGGTGGGAGCGATTCTACTATTTCGGAGGTGTCGTCAAACCGGTACGGCAGCACCCGTCCAGCAGATACCATCAGGCATAGCAATGATGCCAATACAGAAGACCACTGATGTGCAGCAGGAAACATCGATAGTGGCATTGGCGGAAGCAGTGGCAGCCAGTCTCGGAGTGGACTCCAAAGAGCCCACCCGGTACCGGACCCCGAAAGGTCTAAGTGTTAATGATAAGTGCCGCGGAATGGTGTAAGAAGTGTTAGCATAAGACTTTAAGCATTTCCTAGAGACTGTTAAGCATAATATAATGGATTCATCTTGTAAAGCACTACATATTCATCTTGCACTTTTGCCTGAGGGAGTATGTACGAGCCAAGGCTGTACATTTTACTCGCTCAGGCTTCCTTAGTTTTATAAACTTACTTATTCCCTATGTAAGTACGTGCCAGGGATCGTACATTCCAATCATCCACAAGCGTGATGTTTTTATGTAAGTACGTGCCAGGGCTCGTACATTCCAATCATCCACGAGCGTGATGTTTTTATTATGTAAGTACGTGCCCTGGCTGTACGGTTTGGTCACTTATAAGCATGACGATTTCCTAAATCATTGGAATTTCACCCCGGGAGCATAGCCAGACGTAGGCACTCTCTCTGCTTGTTAGATTGCACTTATTATATAGCAATTAACATAATAGTTATTATTTCGCTCATATTCTATTGTATAACGCGAGTGATAAATATAGAGTAAATTCAAATTATTCTATTATTTCGAACCCCTGATGATCCAGGAACCGTACAATAATAGAACATACTCACAATGTTAATACTCGGAACAAACGCAGGCTGCAATTTCCCCGTACTAATGTTAGTAATTATTTTTTGGGAAAAGGGATACTCTTCTTTAATAAAATCCCAGAGGCTCTTTTATATCTGCCTTTTAATAAATTTAAGAAATGTATTAAAGAAAGTCTAGAAAGGCTTACTGTAAAGTAAACGATTATCTAGTTGATAAAAGGGCCGGGGACTAGAGCTAGACAGGCTAGACACCTGTATCTTATGTTCCATAATAAACATATTTTATTTTTTATTATTAGTCACAATATTTTCCTAAATATTATAATAGTAAGTAAGCTTTAAACTATATTCAATCATAATATTAAAAACTTGTAACAAATAATGTTACAAGTTAATAAATTTAGTTTTTATATTGTTTATTCACAATACTTAGTAACTTACGATCAAAAAAGAGGCAAGTATAAAAACCTTAATATTCACTTAATAAAGTCCTACGTGAAAAAATAAATTTCAAAATGCTCTAGCCAACTATATACACAATTATGGACAAATTAAATAAAACAGTGACACATATTTATGCCACGTTAGAATATCAAATTCAAAAAAGCATTGAACATAGTTACGAAAAAATATAGAAATATTTGTTTGAAATACTTTAAAAGCAATGTATTTTAAACATTGCGCTATTTGTATGAAGTCCTATAACAAACGCGGCTGACTATTTTCTGCGTCTATTTCATTATTAAGAATCGGTGATCAGCCTGAAGCACGTTTGTAAGTCTAAGGTTAATTCAGAAATAAGACTTTGTGCGAACTATGACTCCCGAAAATGGGCAGATGTACTGCCAAGGAGATAATGTACGTAACTGTAATGTAATGTATGTAACGTACTTCCAGTCCATAGTGAGCAGATGGGGTTGGATTAGGTATTGGTAGGATTCAGTGGGTAGCATTGCACTTCCCGCGTCACTTAAGAAGTTACCCCGGCTAACCTGGGATAGAATAGAAAGGGCATAGGGGAGGCCTATGTCAAAAGAGAACCTGATCATAAAAGAAAAAAGAATTTGCTAAAGAAAAATAAATATTAATCGTTTTTTTTACCAATTATTTGTAAATAACCGTCAGAGAATAAATGCTTTATTTATTTATTTGACTTCCATATGTTAAAATTATTTCTTGTGAGAACAGCGAAAGAAAGAAACTCCTTGCCTCCTTCAATCTTTCCTAAAGAGTATAGCATAGGTTCATTCAAGCGGCGGCTAAAGGGAATTTTCTGGACAGTCCTCAAAATAGCCGCGTCTTTCTTAATACTACGTAGGAATTTATCAAACATCTATCCAGTTGTATTAAAAAAAAATACAAAATCGTTTCAACATAATATGGTAGTCACACTTAGTGCTAAGTCTCGTTCCTGGATCTTACATACTTACGGCATATCTCCGGGTTCCAGCGCATGAGCGCAAATGGAACGAAGTATTCTTTAAAAATCAACGACAACCTTCAGCGGCAAGTTTGAGCTTTCATAAGACATTTGGTTAATATCATGAAAACTATTTACGGGATAAAACGTTGGGACCATTTCGCTGAGCCGAATTATTGGAGGTAAATTTTGTAACGTGCTATACACTCGAAACGAAACGAAAACTTCCTTTGGGTATCAAGATTAAAAATGGCTTTTTAAATATCGAATACAAATTATGATAATTCAAATCATACAAGCTTTTGGATAACAATTTATTAACATTAACCTGATGAATATTTGGAAAATAAGAGCGACAGGCGGGATATACAATTATCGGGCTCTGGACAAAAACTGCTGTTACAAACCACAGATTACAAATGAATATTGTATGTATTCTGTGAAATAAATGTAAAAAAGTTCTGATATCAAATTGGCATTGCAATGGTGAATAAAAACAGACCAATAAAATTTAAAAAAAATATATTTTATTCTACTCTGTATGGCATTACTGTTGTTATAAATTAAATTTGTAACAAAAATTCTTGCAGTTTGTTTATACATACGTAGCCATACATTGGACAGTCAGTCAGGACATGTGCTCTTATGCGAATTTCCTGTCAAAATAGTTGACATTTTAGATCAATTATTATTTATCGATTCGACAAATCATCTGGCTGACTCTATTATTCTCGAGTTTGGACCAAATGCACTTTCTCGTGTATCGCTTTAGCATTTTTGAAATGTTAATTTCGCTGTTTTATATTATAATATTTGGCTAAAAACAAAAAACGTCTATACATATTATTTTTCAATGGATTTTACTAAAGTTCATCTTCCTGATATGAAGAACAAGAATACGCAAATCCAGCTTATCTTAACTCGACAATGATACATCATATTGTTAAAATATATCTTTTTACTATAGATAAGATGAAAGAAAGTGATGAAGCCAAATCATTTGCATGCAAAGCATCACCAAATCGTTAGCATTTTTATCTCAGACTTTACAAAAATTGCATAACCAATTAGAAAACTTGGGATTTAAAACCCAGCCAACAATTACACACTTTCTTATGTTATATTTCCTATAAAAATTACTAATTATTAGTTCTTAAGTTAGGCTAGATCGTAATGTTTAATGTCTTTGCGCAGACACAATTTAAAAAAAATTGTTTCCAAACCTGTGTCCGATAATTCAAGCGCCATTGAAAGACAAATTAGCAAATGAAAAAACATTATTATAAATACTTAATTTAAAGAGTACAGTCTCGAAAATGAAAATAAACAAGAAAATTGGGTCAGTGGAAATAACGAGGTGAAATAAAAACCGAATCTGAAAAGATAGTGAATGGTTCTACAGGGGTTGGGTTATAATATCAAGTTTGCAAGTAAGGAAATATTTAGTTAGAATTCCCTTTTGCGTATTCGAAATTACGATATTACTGTTGACACGCTTTGAACTGCGCTATCTTAAGTTGAATTTTATTCGTAAGAATGATTTTTCAGTAAACCACACTTATAGGTCGGCAACACAACCGGAAGCCTCCTGCCTCCATGGACGGCGATAAGCACTCGTTTGCCAATGTCCCATAAAAAAATAATAAAAAAAACCACGCTACAACTTTTTATGGTCTGGGCCTTAGATTTGTGCATCTTTCCGTTATCATTTGTTTTTTATAGCCAAGTAGGTGATAAGCCTTCTGTGCACCTACTTGCCACAAGGTGCCGAATTTTTTGGGTCTAAGGCACGCCCGTTTCACCGATGTGTTCCTTTACTGTGCGAGCGACTGCTAGATATAAAGTTCCTTGGTGTACATCTGGGGTGCGAATCTAACACCTCAGGGATGAGAGTCGCACGCCGAAGCCTCTAGGCCAACAATGCTTTATACAATAACAATAATACGCTATCTTATCACATCACATTTAGACATAGACATACACATAGACATAACATTTATTACTAACAAAAACACACACACAAAATAACAATAATCAAATAAATTTTTCATGGGTGTAATGCGTGAGGTCTGTGGTTGTAATTGGCCCTGGCTCAGCATTATGCTGGAGGAGCAGAATGTTCAACAGCGCTGGTCATTCTGCCAGAGACCACAGCAGCTACTTTGCGGCTTAGTCGCAAAACAAGAAAGAAAAAACATTTCTGCATTTTTATAGTCAAGTGTAAACAAAATTCTGACACGAGTTGGGTTTGGGTCTACTTGCATCGCTAAAAAAAGTGTTGCATATAGAAAAACAATACACAGTCAAAGCTAGATAAAAGCCGAAACCGACAATAACATAGAAAGATATGTTACTCAATACTTCTTTTTATTTTCGTACCTATATATATTTTTCCTAATGTATCAATAACATTGGTGCTAATTGCTTCTAATAATAAAACGTAGATGTAAAATTTTTGTGAAGTGTGTAAATAAATAAAGATCCTAATCCTTGGGATTGATTTGCTCCAGTTCAAACAATTTGTATGACTCAAAACATAGCGATTAATAGAGTGGCGGAAACTTTCTTGCCAGTTCTTCTTGCCCGCTCTACGACCTTGACTTGCGAACTATAAGAGTGTACTTGTTTACCTTTATGAATAAACTTATTTTGAGTTTGACTTTATGAATGAGAGATATACATAAGGACTAACTTTTATAATTTATTTCAGATTCAGCCAAAAAAGACTTTTAGAATTTCACGTGGCCAAAGAACATTTAAATATTGACGTGAACGTATTACCTTGCGATAAATGCGGAAAGATGTTTAGGGATAAAACTTCGCTGAAGTTGCATATTGTAATTGAGAAAGGCAAAGGATCGATGCCATTGAGACGTGGTGCTGGAGACGAATGCTCAGAATACCGTGGAGTGAATACGAATAGCGGCAGGTACTAATGAGTTATTTAAATAGACGTTTAAAACTAAACCAGAGTTAATACTTAGCGCTAATCATTACTTCTGTATGTCAAAAAGGCATTTTATTTTGACTTTCGG